TTATAAGGAACAAAAAATATGGGGAAGGGAAGCAACAAAAAAAGCTCCTCGGCCCCCAATCCTGAGAAACAGGCAATAATGGATGCCGCACCAGTATACATTAAGCACCATATTGAGAGCCTCATAGACCAATTCAGGAATGAAGTTATCAATGATCTGAAGCTAGAAGTATGCAGAATAGTTAGAGAAATGCTAAACACCACCCAGGAAAAAACAGATGGTGGAATGGAAGAACAGAAAAAGAGGGGAGAATTGCTTGATGGAGAAAACAGAGAAAGCATTGAGTATGTGAAGCAGGTTCAAAGGGACTATCAAGAAATTAATAAGTCTATACAAGACTGGCATAACAGCTTGAAAGAAACTAAGGACAGACTATCTGAACTGGAGGGCAGACTTGAAATATGGGAGAATGAAATGAAAAACTTCTTAAAAATAACAAAGAAACAAACAGCAATAATACAAAGACAAGAAGATGATAAGAGGAGCCACCACTTAAGGATTAAGAACATAGAAGAAGAAGTAGGGACACAAACAAGTGAATTACAAAAGCTACTCACAGAAATAATCCAGGAGAATTTTCCTAATTTAGCAAAAGGTAAAGATACTCAGCTGTATGAGGCATACAGGACCCCAGCTACCTACAACCCTAACAGAGAAACACCCAGGCATATAATAATAAAAATCCCAGAAATTCAATACAAGAACAGAATATTAAAAGCTGTAAGAGACAAGAAACAGATCACTTACAAAGGAACACCCATCAGAATTACAGCAGATTTCTCTTCACAAACCATCAAATCACGAAGAGCATGGGGGGAAATAATTCAAGCTTTGAAAGATAATAATCTCCAGCCAAGATTGAGATATCCTGCACAACTGTCCCTGGAAATTGATGGAAAAACGAGGTGCTTCCAGGATAAAGAGGAACTGGGGGAATTTGCAACCACCAATTCAACTCTACAGAAAGTATTGCAGGATATTCTAAAAAAAGAAAAATACAAAGAACCCAGAAATAGTGGCAGGGAGGCCACAACGAATGGAGCAGAGAACAAAATGAAGAAGACAAACTGACAGCTACTGACAGAAAAAGAGCTCAACAGAAATGAGACAGAGAAGATTGGATGATAGGAACAGCTATTTTTGAGAAAATGACATCTTAATAGGTAATGCTGATTCAGTACCATCTTGTTTTGAAGTCTCATCTAGCTTTTGTTCTTCTGTCTCCAATGGTCTAACCAGGTTGTATCTTATTGGATTTTGTTATGTATGTTAGTATAAGCAAAAACCTTTTAAAGACAAGGAGATTATACAGAGACCATTGTTCATTTTCTGTTAGTCAATTCCAAATACTCTATAATGCTGTCATTCTCTTAAATGGTTTTACATTGTTTTGATATACTTAATGCTACAGTATATGAAGTTGTACTCAAGGACTTCAGGGAGGGAGTCAATATGGTAACTATTTTTAAGTCGGAAATATCTGGTGGTGAAACACAATTCTGCTTAAAAGGTTATGTCTTGATCTGCCCTGTTTCGCTGTTATGCCCTCTTTTTCTTTTTCTCAATCTCCACTCCATTATATACTTTTTTATTGTTATCCATTTAATTAAAGGGAAAAATATAGCAGGATATAATATAGTAACCCACTTTGACTTTCTATTTTCTCGATTTGAAGCCCTGTATTACTCTCACCATCTTGTTTTTGACTGAGGTTCCTCTATTCTGTTTTGCTGAATAGTATCAGGTTCGAAAGTTTAGGCATCAGCTGAGAAGATAATGAGATTCATTATAACGCCCATTCTCGTTGACTTCTATCTACTTTTGAAGACCTACAATATCTCCAATGTTTTGGTTTTGTCGGTTTTATCCTTTATGGTTTTGTTCAATAGTATTACAACTAATGATATAGGCAATCCTATTAGAAATAGCGGGAGGCATTAGGGTAACCATTGTTGATCACCTTGTATTATGTTTTTATATTATCTATTATATCCACCCTTTTGACTTGACCGATTCTGTTCTGTTATGTCACATTTGGTTTTACTCTCTTCCAAAAAAGCAATAAGAACAGTGGGAGCAATGAAACCCAAAATGTGTAATAGTCACTGTACAAAAGAGAGGAAAAGAAAATGCTCTAAACTATATAACTGCATGTATATTTAAATGTATAAGACAGAAAATGATATCACAGAGTTCTAATGGATCATTGAACAGAACTGTTTGCAGTATCATTGCTGGAATGTCCACTCTACAAACTTTAATTCTGTGACTTGAACAATTATTTCTAAGATGGCAATATGTAATCTATTAACTAGTGATTTCCTACTGCGCATTTTTTTCTTCTGTAAATCTGTATAACTTGTACCCTTCACTGTTTTTTTTTTCTTTTCTTTTCTCCTTAAATAAAAATTAAAAAAAAAAAAAAAAAGAAATAATAACAAGAAATAAGTGGTGGGATAACATCAAATCAAAAAGCTTCTGCACAGCAAAGGAAATCACCTATAGTGTGAACAGACAACCCCCAAATGGTAAAAGCATTTTACCAGCTCTGCTATCGATAAGGGACTAACATGTAGACTATATAAAGCACTCAAAAATATTAGACTCCTAACTTTAAAGACCCAATTAAAAATAGGCATCTGAAATAAATAGATACTTCTCAGATAACGAATATAAATGGCAAAAAAAATACAGGAGGAAATGGTCAACATGGCTGCTGGCCATTAGGGAAATGCAAATTAAAACAATACAGTAGAAGTTCATGAAAGCTTTTGTTTACAAATAATTCCATTTCTAAACAGAAGAAGGAAAAAGTTTGCTTATTTTTGTGAACTCTGCATTAGGTGATGAACATGATCATGCAGAATTGTGAAGTGAATTAAGTTTGTGAACTGAGTTCCATTGTGTTGAAATTCCATCTCACTCCAGAAAGAAAGGCCACCATCAAAAATCAATAAGTAAAAAATTCTGGAGGGGCTGTAGGGAGACAGGAGCTCTTCTCTATTATTAGTGGATGTGTAAACTGAGACAACCACTATAGAAAGCAGTATGGAGATTCTTCAAAAAACAAAAAACAACAACTCCAATTTACTGGTTTTTCCCCTTCTAGGTAGATAGCCTCCTAAAGACATCATACCACAATGACATATGCATAGTCATATTTATAGCAGCACAGTTTATAATAGCTAAATCTTGGAAGCAACCTATACGTCCATTAGCAGATGAATGGACAAAGAAAATATGGAATAAATAGAGTATGAAATAAAAGAAGATAATAGGAAAAAAGAAAGATAAAAATATTATTCTAAGCTTGCACAGACAATATATCTAAAAGCGAACCTTGACTTAGTTCAACTGCCTTGCATGACAGTTAACTTTATAATATCTTAAAAGGTATATGAATCTGTGGCTAGCAAAGTAAAAAGGGATAGAGAGAAGGGGGAAAGATAATTGAAATATGTTATTCATGTACCAAACCCCTACATTACAACCATGTACTAAATAAGGTAAACAAACAAACAAACAAAAAAACATTTTTTTTCTATAAACAGTGCATTGCCCCATTGCTGTCTTCAGTGCAAATACCCCTAAGACTGTGGGTATCTTCCCTTACCAAAGATGACATTAAGGTTGTATTTTGGACAAACATCTTTATTCCAGCCTCACCAAGTAAAAGGCAGAATATGGAAGTTTTACCAGGTAATGGAAACTTTCTTTTAAGAAGCTCCTCAGGATAACGCTAAGTGCAGTTGAGGCTTGGGGTCTATTGGACCCCAAAGTGAACAGAAAAGAGAGGAGAAAGGATCAGAGAAACATGAGAGGGGCTGGAAGAATTTTAGGGATGAGATCAGTTCTCCTTACTGAAACGAGGCTTGACTAAGTGATCTGCTCTGGCTACTAAATGTAAATGGACATGAGTGGGTCACTTTGTGGTAGCTCCTATGTAGTCAGATTCTTTTTTTCTTCTGCCATAATAATGGATGCACAAAACAAGGAAGTTGTTTCATGAGCCTGGAGCTTGAAGTCCAGTGATGCTCGGAAGAATTAAGCTTATATAAGTGAGAATTAAAAAAAAAATGTTGTAAGTTTCAGAGATTTAGGGGTTGTTAATTGTTATTGTAACATTTTCTGACTCGTATATATTGCTTTAAGAAATATATAATAAGTAAAAATTCCAAAAAGAATGAAGACCAAATAAGATGAGATGGAAGAAGTCCCAAGGAATTTGTCAGTGAGAAGGTCACTGGCACACTAGTAAGAAAGTGATGAGTGGTGAGAATAAGTCAGAAAGATTAATTATCTTGCAAACCATCAGCACTCTGTGGACGTCTTTTGATATGAAAACAGTAAAGAACATTAGGTCTACTCTCATTTATTGCACATGGCAGGTCAAATTAGAAGGCTATGGGTTTGAAATATCAAATTATATCTTCCAAAGAAAATTTAAAAATAATGATATTGCTGAAGGCATTAATTTAAATGCTTAAGGAAGGCAGTCAGCTTTTATTTTGATCAACATTATGAAAATACTTCATTTTAAGTAGTCATGTTCTTTAAGGAAACATGTAGTGTAAATTTTCTAGATTATCATCTAGGCAGGCCAAATATGAAGAAATTAGCAGAGTTTAGTGATCTTTGAATGTCTCTCTTTGAGATGAGCAGCCACGAATTATTTTACTTCATTTATTTACCTATTCTTCCAATCAGCAAACATGTAGAACCTTCGATGAATTAGTTATCCTGAGATTCACTGTCATATTTGGTGGAGAGTGATATGCTTGCATCTTCATGGGACTCAAGTAATTTCACTAAAAATGAGTACTTACATTTTTTGTTCAAAACCTAAAATTTCAATATAGTGTATCTTATTCATCGTTATTTCATAATATGCTTTGAGTCTGATCTTAAATAAGGGATACATTTCTTCCATGTGGGAAATGGACACATGTTATATGGGTTTAGAGATTGGTGTTTTAAAAGATGTGGTTTTTTCCTTTTTTTTTTTTTTTCTTGGATTGCTTACTCTGGGGGAAATATCCTTGCCATTTGTGAAGTCACTCAGTCACTACGTGGAGGATTCCATGTAGAAGACGTCCACAGATGCCACCAGCCACCCACCAGGCACCAGTCATGTGAGTCATGTGAGTGAGCCACGTTGGAAGATGAGGCTTCAGCCTTTCTAAGCTTTCAAGTGCCCAAAGAAAACCCCTGTTGACAGCTTCATTGTATCGTTACCTGAAACCCTGAGCCAGAAGCATCCTGCTAAGTCATTATTTTAACTTGGGAATGGTAAGCAAACAAATATTTGCTATTTTAAGCTCCTACATGTTAGGATAATTCGTTGTACCGTAGGACTTCTCTGGCTTGCACACACACTAGTACTCACATGGCACAATTATCTTCAATGCCTTTCACCTGACTTGTAGTCTTTTCACTTTCACAAATAAGAAGAAACAAACAGTTTAGAGATCTCCAAGTGCCTCTTTTGATCCCAAAACATCATTTATCTCTTTGATCCAAATGACAAAAAATATTCATTTAAAAGTGATTTGTGCTTTAATTTTAATTAAATTCCAAAGTAAAGAGTTTCATATTTGTTTAAGCCAACCACATTCCTTCAGAATTTATTCAATGAACTTCAAGCAGTGTTCCAAAAGAAAAAGTATCTCTGCTTTAACTGCTGAAATGCTATCTTTTTAGTTTTTACTTCGAGTCTTTTCATCAGAAAATTAAAGTTAAAACCTTACCAATGCCACACAAAACTTGAATTTCTGCTTTGACTGGAGAAATGGGCTGATGAAGTATTTCTAGTATACTAATTAAGTACATTTATGATTACAGTCATCCAACATACATGTAGGAGGAATAACATATGTTGTGGAACAGAAAGAGGTGATGTGTTACTATCCAGAAAACCTGCAACATCTTGTATTTCAGGTACGGTGTCAGATCACTTTCTCCCCTGTATCACCTTTTAAAATCTTTCATAAAGTTATGAAAAATTGCGTGGACTCCATGTAAAACTGTGTCTGCTCATATTCTCAGAATAACTTCCCTTGGAACCTTGAACAAAGTTTCATTAGTGACTTTAGTCTGTGAGGTTTTATAGAAAACATTATAAATGTGTGATTATGTAAAATTCCCTAGGGCATGGAAAGTTAGTTCAGTAGGTTTTCATAAAATGTGAACTATTAATGTTTACAGAAGAGACTTAAACCAAAACAATTTAAAACCGCCTTCTACATCACTTGACTCTGTCAAATTCTTTGTAGCTTTTGTCTGGAAGTGCTAGAGTATATCAGTTAAAGAAAGAATACTTATGTGACATAATTAGATTTTTTAAAATGTCTGTGCAATCATAGGCTGCAGAAAGCCTTTCTCATTTCTTGAGAAAACGGCTATTAAAATGTGGTCTTAGCTTGAAAAGAGCTAACTTCAGTGGTGAAGGACCACTAGAGCAGAACAGTTCATTGAAGTAAATTAATCCCTGATTATTCCCTTTTGTTGTACTTGTTGTGTAACTATTCAGTGCACCACTGACCGGGTGGATTCTGATTTCTGATGTCTGCCTGGAATCATGTGGACTGCTTCCTGGTTGAATAAATTTAACTGACGTGAAGTCCACCCCAGATACTGCTTCGTAAAGAGTGACTCAAGTCTTAAAATCGTCAAATGTTCTCATTTCAACCTGATACAATTCCAGATTTCAATTTTGCCTGCAACTGTGGAACCAGAGTTCAGGAAGTATTCTGGTCAGAAAAAAGATACTTTATGAAGATCAGAGAGAATAGAGAAGTCACTCCAGGGATAAAAGGAGGGGACAGTGGCTTAGATCAGAGTGCAGGGAAGAGGTGATAAGAGGCTCGATGAGGCGTATATTTATATTTTACAGGTAAAGATACAGTTACAAATGCATGGAATGTAAAAGATTTAAGGAGAAAGACAGAGAGAATCAATGGCAAGCATGAATGCAAAGTTTTAAAATATAATTTTGCTTTTTTTTTTTTTTTGTCTTTTTCGTTTTTATCGGTACCAGGGATCGAACTCACCACTGCCTGCTTGCAAGGCAGGCGCTTATGCCGCTGAGCTAAATCCCCAGCCCCTGCCTTTTGTTTTATTTTGTATTTTTTTTCTAGTTGTTTCAAGAAATTGGAACATTGGTGAGATAGGAAAAATATCCTATAGTTTATTAAAATATATAATCAACTCATATTTACACAATTCATTTTGTTCACTTTAACATATCTTGGAATTTCTTCCTAATAAATACATGTGTCTATATTGTCTTCCTTTTTTTGTTTTTTTCTTTTTTATCGGTACTGGGGATCGAACTCATGACCGCACACTTGCAAGGCAGGCGCATATGCCACTGAGCTAAATCCCCAGCCCCTGTATTGTCTTCTTTTTAATAAATGCAAAAAATAGGGATGCGGATGTGATTTATATGAATACTATCTTTTATTCAGAAACTTTAAACAGTTTATTCTAGAGAGACTTTCTTTTGGTTTCTTGTCTTTCATCACAACAAAAAATGCTACTACTAACAATCATGTACAAATATCTGTGCATACATGAAAAATGCATCTCTAGTACAAATCCCTAAAAAAATCAGTTTTGGGTCAAAGTTGTTTTCGTTTTGGATTCATATTCCAAAGTTGTTGTCCAAAAAGTTTCCGCTAATTTATAGTCTAAGAAAAAATGTGAAAGATGCTATTTTCCTGCATATTTTTCAAAATGTTGTCACTTTTCGTAAATGTATTTTCTGCCTCAGTCTGATTTATACATGCCTATGGTCCTGAATTTAGCACCAATCTCAAAAAAGGTTTGGATCTCTCTAGAATGTGGAAAATGTAAATTTTACCCAAAGGAAAAGAATAGACATGGCAGATAGGAAGTTGATATGTAGGTCTCTAGCTACTGAGTATAGTTTGAAGGTCTATATGAGCATGTATTTCAACTGCTCCCTGCTTAATAATTTTATCTACATATGTGATCAGGCAGAAAAGATAAGCATGTAACTTTGCTTTTTTTACCAAAAAAAATGATAACTCATTTCAGTCTCAAAGAAAAATGCACAATAATGAACACAGAATACTTTCAAAGGTTTACCAACGCCTTTACTTTCAGAGAACAATGCAAAGTAAAAATCTTACTTTCCTGAAGTGAATTTAGAGTCAATTGCATGTTTAATGCATACATGTACTTTATACTTTTTGGCAATTAGAGAAGCTCACTTAAAATATTTTCTTTTTGGCCTTAACTATTCTTTTATTGTCTTGGTACTGGGAATTAAACTCAGGACCTTGTGCTTGCCAGGCAGACATTTGTGCCACAGAGCTTTATCCCCAAACCTAATTCTTATTATTATTATTGAGATTCTATTTTACTCCTCAGGATGAGAGTATGAGAAGCTGAGATAAATTAGAAGAAAGTTTTAATAAATGCAAATCTGATACTTTACATTTTCAGAAGTAGAATGTAACTTGAAATCAAAACAGCTTTTCTTCTTTTTATTATGCATTATAAGGGCTTATTTCTAGAAATCAATGAATAAAAAATTTAGTATTATTTTTTACAAAAATATTACTGAAACATTTATGAATATGGTGATTCAAAAGGAAGTAAATGACTCATTTACTTTTCAACTAATTCCAAGATGCCTTATTGATATTGATTTACACTGAAATTTGAAGAGAAATTTTTAAAAGTTATATCTAAAATGAACTTCTTACAAAATAAACTCTTTACCTAAAAACTTTTAAAAGTATGTGGAGTTGATAATATTCACTAAGAGGAAAAAGAAGTTTCCTTTTCCCCTGATCACTGAAAACTTAGGTCATATAAAATATAATTTCAATTTTGGATTATGACCAAAATGAAATCTGGTGATATTAAAATTAATAGTTGATATAGGCATTTATGAAGAATCTACACATTTTCAGGACCATCTCAAGTGAGGTAAAATGAACAAGTGAATATATAAAATATTGTCTTTCCTTTCAACTCATATTGTTCTCGAAGCTGTCAAAATTAAAATTAAGCAGAAGTGATATAAATTTCCTTAGTAATAAATGCTTATAAGCAGTTTGTAACGCTTACCTCTTTTCAAGCCTTCTTTGGTCTCAGAACTGATTATCGCTACCTTGTTACTCATTTCTATTTACAACCTCAAAATCCAGACTCATTGGCAAAAGAGAGATGCTCTTCGAGGAAATTGCATTTCCTCCTAGATAAGGAATTAAACCTACAACTTCTTACCTGTTCTCACAGCACAGCCTATCTTATGGAACTCAAGGAGTTGAACATGGATACTTTTTACAGAAAAGAAAGACAGAACAATAGTGTACACATCTGAGTTCAGGAAAGCTGGAAAATATCAGGGATCAGCAATGGGAAATAAATACCTGTTGCAAGAGAAATGGTGAAATTTGATGTTGTTTGATGTAGTGAATTTAAGTAGGAAGGAAAATAGGGAGTGTAGCAGCAGGCGTGGAACTCAGACTGCTGTGTTCTTTTAAAAATACAATGCACAAATAAGAAAATACTCCACTCTGTTTTCCATTTTCCATTGTTAGCCTTTTAAACACTGATCTTAATTATTAAATCTTATCCTAAGCTGTCAGAGTATGATTGTAATAGGTATTAATAAGAAATAATAAAAATATACGAACTACTGAAGGTATCTGCTGCCAGAATCTATGTATGGTAATACTTAGAAATATATAGAGAGCCAGATGTGGTTAGGTCTATAATCCCAGCACTCCAGAGGCTGAGGCAGGAGAATCACTGTAAGGTTGAGATACACAGCTCAAGACCAGTTTGAACTCTATATGGAGACCCTATCTCAAAACAAAACTCCACAAGAACAAAACAGAAACCTACAAGAAAACAGTCCAAACAAAATAAAAACAAAACAAAACATTATTACAAAAATCTCTCTTAAAAATTTAAAAATCACTCAAACTTAGCAACTGGGCTCTTTCTAAATTTCTTTTATTTTTGGAGCCAAGTATTTAATTTATAAAATATAGGCATTGTCTAAGTGGAAATCTGGATTCTTCATGGATTTCTAGTTTCAAAAACTCTTGCTCTGACTCTGAAAATGCTTATTGATGGATTAGACCTTTTCACCCATATGTGAATATGTGCTTTAAGTAACATAATGTACATGTTTCTAAAACAAAAGAAAACAAAAGTTTTGTGCAAATATGAATTTGACAAAATCTTGTAATGTGTGGTGCTTTGTTTAAAACAGTATTCTTATTTCCATTATTGTTTGAAACTGATGTTGTATCCAGTTTAATGCTATAGCTTAGAGATAAGACTGTTGTGTTAATCTACAAAGTTATGTATTATTTAAACACCAAGAGCTAACTGAATGTTTTAAGTATTTTATACTTCAAAAGTTGCCTGAAATTTTGAGACAAAGTACTAGTAACAAAAATAAATCTTTAAATCTACTCCTTAGTCTTTGATTTATTTCTTATATCTTTCTACATCCTCAATCTTTTATTACATATATAGTTTGATTAAGATGTATGAATATGGGGCTGGAGGTTTAGCTCAGCGGCATAAGCGCCTGCCTTGGAAGTAGGCAGTCGTGAGTTCGATCCCCGGTACAGATGTATGAATATACAGTGCATGTTTATTTGTTTACTTACTTATTTTGTGTTTTTGGGACAAGGTCTTGCCATGCAGTTCAGGCTGGCCTTAAGCTCACTTTGTAGGTCTCAAACTTGCAATCATTCCCTTGCCTCAGCCTTCTGAGTGCTAGGATTACAGGCACGTGCCATCATACCGTTTATAGTGTTTACGTGTTTAAATAAAAGATTATTAAAATAAAAGAAACACTGTCATTAAGTCTCCTGAAAATATTCCTTTTGGCTTCCAACACATTCTACTGCTCTTGCCACTTTCTGAAACTGTTGTAAAGTCCC